CCAAGAATAATCCCTGAGCACTGCCAGATGTGGTAAACCCCCCCCCCCCCCAGATTATAGGGGCCAGAGAGTGATAGTACAGTGGGTAGGGAGGGTGCTTGCTTTGCATGCAGCAGACTGAGGTCTGGTCCCCAGCATGACATATGGTCCCCCAAGCACCATCAGGAATGACTCTTGAGCACAGATTAGAATAGAAATAAGCCACTGAGAACAGCCCAATGTTGCCCAAAAAAGAAAAAAAAGAAGTTTAGAACTAGATGGTGGCAATAGCTGCAGAAACGTATAAATATACTAAAAGCCACTATAAGCTTTAAAACAGCTTTAAAAAGTGAATTTGGTTATATGAAATTAACCAAATAACCAAAAATTTTCTATTCCTATTCCATGGAGATGGAGAAATATAGCAAATATAGAAATATAGTAAAGCACCTGCCTTGCACAGGGTGGTCCAGGTCTGATACCTAGCATGGCATACTGTCCACTGCCTCACCAGGAAGTGATCCCTGAGTACAGAGCCAGGAGTAAACCCTGAGCAGAGCCGGGTGTGGTGCCACCACCTCCAAAAATACAGAGGACATCTTGATGTTGAGCTTTTTCTCTTAAAAGTGGGAGCAACAACAATCATGAACAATTAGAGTTTATAAAACACTTTGCCCTACAGTCTTAGGTAATTCTCACAACTCTTCTCTCTCTCTCTCTTCTTTTTTTCTTTTTTTGGCTTTTTTGGTCACACCCAGCAACACTCAGGGGTTACTCCTGGCTCTATGCTCAGGAATTAGTCCTGGAAGTGCTTGGGGGACCATATGGGTTGCCAGGGATTAAACTCGGGTCGTCTGTGTGCAAGACAAATGCCCTACCTGCTGTACTATTGCTCCAGCCAATTCTCACAACTCCTGAGTTAGATATTTTCACCTCACCTTGGAGACTGAAAAACAAACAAAAACTGAGGTTCAGAGTGGAATAAACTCATATGGGTAAAAAAAGGGAAAGTGGGCTAATCAAACCAGATTTTTCTGACTCCACTGTACCACACTCACTGCCTCTAAGGCAAACACTTCCAAGTTCTGCAAGCTCAGAAAAGGATAGAAGCAACTGTTCTTCTAAAGTTATATTTTAATTAAGGTAAAGGTAAAGGTAAAGGCCCTCCCGTTGATCGTCGATTTGCTCGAGCGGGCCCAGTAACGTCTCCATTGGAGACTTTGTTGTTACTGTGTCTGGCATATCCAATACTCTCGGTAGCTTGCCGGGCTCTCCGAGAGGGGCGGAGGAATCGAACTCGGGTCGGCCATGTTGGCCGCTTGTAAGGCGAACGAACGCCCTACCCGCTATATGTGCTATTTTAATTAAGATGGAAAAATATTCCACAGCACACAGCTAATAAAAATTTAATAAAAATAATGTAGAATACTGCTTATTTCCTCTCCCTAATTTCTAAAAAAGTGTATGTTTCTCAGTGTAATACAGGTCATTATGCTCTATTATTTCAATCTTTTTGGTTTTATTTGAACGTAATTTGTTCCCCAATATATAGTCTATCCTAAAAAAATTTCACATGCACTTGAGAACAACCTGCATTCTGCTACCATTGGGTAGATATCTGCGTGCTTTGGTTCAACTGGCTTAGAGTGTTCAAATCCTCTACCAGCCCTTGATCTTCTATCTGATTGTTCTATCCATTATTGAAAGCAAGGTACTGAAATCTCCAGCTATTGTGTAGAACCATTTTCTTTTTAAGTCTATCAAGTGTGTCTGTGCACTGCCTGGCATCAAAATTATGTCCTCATACATGTGAGGGATGTGTGTTACCACTGAGCCACACCCTAAGACCAATTTGATCACTTTTTGCTTCATGCAGTTTTGTATATGTGTATTAAAAATACATATATATGTATATTATATATACATATGTATATTATATATACATGACTATATGTAGATTATATGGTTATATACAACTTATGAAAATAGATATTGTGCATTGTATATAATGTATATATCTAAAATAGTTTATAACAATATATTGTTATACATATTATATTGTTATATGAAATAATGTATATATAGCAAAATAAATTGCTAGGGATATATATGTTTAATATTGCTGTATCTTCTTAATCTATTTAACCTTTTATCAATATGTAATACCTTTCTTTTGTCTCTACAAATCTTTTGAGATTTAAAGTCTAGACTGTGGGGCCACAGAGAGAATGCATTGTGTATGAGAGGCCCAGATTCAATCTCTGGCACCACATGGCCCCCAAGCATAGCTTGTAGTGACTTCCATGTATAGAGCCAAGTGTAGTCCCCTGGCATCACTAGGTTTGGCTCAAAATATAAATACAAACAAACAAATATACACCCAGCAGACAGCTCAATGGGTTGGGTGCATGCTCTGCATGCAGGGGGCCTATGTTTGACCTCAGGCACTGGAGGGTCACAGAAACACCACTGGGAGTGACCCTATGACAGAGGACCAGAAGAATCCCTCAGCACTGCTGGGTGTGGCCTGAGAGCCAAAATAAGTATCAGACAATACAGATTTTTATTAAATTATTAAAAGTTGTTTGCTTTCAGGTCACATCTGGCAGTGTTCAGGAGCTACTCACAACATGTGCTGGGAAGGGGGTTACTCTGTGAAAACATGTGATGCTGGGGCTGAAACTCACGCTCTTCTCATGCAAAGCATGTGCTCAGCCTATGAAGCTATCACTCTGGTTCTACTGTCTGATATTTAATAGCCACCCCCTCTTTTTTGGTTATTACTTGCTTTGAGCATCTTTCTCAACTCTTATCTTTAAAATTTTTTTTATTTTATAAAGTAGTTCACAGTATTTGATTACATTTAATATTCAAACACCAATCCCATCACCATGACACCTTCCCAACACCATATTATGGTAGGGTGTTTGCCTTGCATGCAGCCAACATGGCCGACCCGAGTTCGATTCCTCCGCCCCTCTCGGAGAGCCCGGCAAGCTACCGAGAGTATCTCGCCCGCACGGCAGAGCCTGGCAAGCCACCCATGATGTATTCGATATGCCAGACACAGTAACAACAAAGTCTCCAATGGAGACGTTACTGGGCCCGCTCGAGCAAATCAATGAACAACGGGAGGACCGTGACTGTGACCATGAGATATATATATATATATATCCGTTAAAAAAAAGTATATTTCCCTCTAAGATTGGTTGCTTCCTACTTTGAATCCTATCAAATGTGGTGCAGTAATCCTGGAGCATGGGTAGAGTCTGTGTTGTTTGTTTGTTTGTTTTTGGGGGGGTCACACCTGGAGATACACAGGGGTTACTCCTGGCTTTGCACTCAGGAATTACCCCTGGCAGTGCTCAGAGGACCATATGGGATGCTGGGAATCGAACCCGGGTTGGCCGAGTGCAAGGCAAATGCCCTACCCGCTGTGCTATTGCTCCAGCCCCGAGTCTGTGATTTGAAGTATCACACAGCCACAAACACAGCCACGCAGCCCAGGAATAGATGCACTCGTGGGTGATGCTCGGCCTGAGCATGTGGAGAGCAGCCATGACTGTGGTGGCAGCTGAGTTATGGAAGTTTTCAGCTGCTGGGGCTGGGTTCCTTGAAGTGGGGAGGGGTCTCACCCGCCCCCCCCCTCCCTGGGGCGCCCTGAGTGAAACAACCTGGCTTGGGGTCTGGTGGCATAGTTAGGGCAAATGCCGTGTTGCTCTCTTTCAGGAAAGAAGGACATGCAATCTGGGTGGCCAATGATGAGATTATCTGGCGCCAGCCAGAGGTGGCTTCTGGGCGTAACTGCTTGGTACAGGTGGGGCATCTCCATACCTGGTCCCGTTGAGCCCAGAGTTCTCAGTCACAAAGTCCCGCATACCTGAGTTTTTCCGGGGATTCACTCATGGCTGAGACTCAGCCCGAGTGTGTAGAGAGCGGCTGTGGAAGTTTTTGGCTGCTGGGGCTGGGTCCCTTGGGGTGGGGAGGGGCCTCAATCGCCCCCCTCCAGGGCACCTTGCTCCACTCTAATCTTTTTATTTTATTTTTTTGCTTTTTGAGTCACACCTGGCAATGCACAGGGGTTACTCCTGGCTCTACACTCAGGAGTTACCCCTGGCGGTGCTCAGGGGACCATATGAGATGCTGGGTATCCAACCCAGGTCGGCCGCGTGCAAGACAAACCCTACCCGCTGTGTTATTGCTCCAACCTCTCCACTCTAATCTTTAATAAACTCTTTGGGTCGATCTAAGTGAGTCTCTTAGAGGAAGCATGTGCAGATTTTTTTTTTTTGGTTTTTTTTTTTTGGGGGGGGGGGGAGCTGGACCATACCCAGTGGTGCTCAGGGTTTACCCCTGGCTCTGAGCTCAGCACTCAGGGATCACTCCTGGCAGTGCTCAAGGGGCCATATATGTTGCCAGAGACCCTATGTGGTGCCAGGGATTGAACCCATGTGTGCCACATGCAAGGCAAGAGCTTAATCTATTATATTATCTCTCTAGTCTCTGGATGTGGTGATTTTTTAAAAATCTGATTTGCCAATCTCTGCTTTTAGAATACGATTCCTTTATATTTAACATAATTACTGATAAAAGATTTACTTTTTTCATTTAACTATATGTTTTTATATGTTTATGCTTTGTTTTTTATTTCCTCCATTAATGCCTTTATAAAACTAATTTAAGTACTATATAAGATTCACTAGGTTAGTCTTCCCCATCAAATAACCACCTATCCCTCTATTTCAACAGTTCTGATGAATGTCTCTTCCACAAGTCTGTCCAAAACATATGAAAAGGAGAATCTACCTTCTCTGGACATAAAACCTAAGTTCTATCCTGGTTTCAGCCTCTGCATCGTTTGCTCTTTAAATATACAAGTATCATACATAATTTGGCATTCCATCATAAAGTTCATTATTATTGTTCTGTTCTCTGTCTACATGCAGCCTGGGTTAATCCTCACATACTTAGGCAGGAACTCTTGACTGGCAGGCAAAGAAACGAGAGGAAAAGTGGCTTACATTGTAGGAGCGGGGATGCCTCTGCTTCCACTGTACCAAGAGCAGCTGGGCCACCACCAAGGTAGCAATGAGGATGAGGACCATTTCTGCATGCATGGCTTCATGGCCGCGGTGCTTAGCATGCATGCGTGCATGCTCAATCCTGAAAGCCAAACAGAATGGGTGAGCCATGTTAGGGATGGTGAAGAGGTAAAGGGACAGTGCTCTCCAGGAAAGTCCTACCAGTCCATACCTCAGACATATTCTTGTGCTTTGCATCTGCAGGGTACTGTGCAAATTCAGGGCTTGGAAAGATATGGGTCAGAGAGGACAAGTGTTGGGAGCAAAATAGGGTATCTATGGGTCCCAGTCACCAACCTCAGTTACTGGAGTTAAATGGGGAATCTGCTGCATGAACGACAAAATTGCTAACACTTTTCCTATAGCAAACAAGAGGTCTCAGAAGGCCGAGTCGCTGCCATTTCCGTCCTATTTCAACCTATCACTAGAAACAGAAACTAACTTGAAAGAAAACTATAGTTATAAAGCTTCAGACCATATTTATGGCACTGAAAAAGAAGTAACATTGCAAATGTGTGCTGATTCCAGAGTTAGAGAGAATGGCTCTATTTGTCCTACCCTCGCTTTCTGTACCAGAGATCTCTAAGACTAGTTAATGCCTGGAAAATTTAGATCATATTAATTCTATAATAATTCTTCACCACCAGCAACTACAGGTAAATAACCCCCTGAGAACTCAAGGAGATTATAGCTGGAAACCCTACTTAATCTCTAAGGAACACTGTCTGGTTCTGAAGCTTTGCAGCAAGTGATTCCCCTAGCCAATAAAAATAACAAACTTCTTCTCAGAGAAACAAAACAGGCCTAGAACTTTGGGTCAGTCATTCAAGGGAGAGGAATGAGAAAGGAGTTAGATGGAAAACTAAACACAAATGCAGCCTATAGTCAGTCAGGAGCTCTTCTATAAGATCTACGAACTTGGTGTTCAGGGATGGAGGGAAAAACCAATGTAAATAGTTTCTTCACAGGATCCCCCAAAAGCCATGAAGGCCTAAATAAACTAAACTGGATGAAGATTTGTTAAATACATGAAAAAGCAAATACAGCAGAAAGTTAACTGTAAAGGGGCCCATAGTGACAGTACATTAGGTAGGATATTTGCTTTGCATTTAGCTGGCCTGGGTTCGATCCCCAGCATCCCATATGGTTCCCCGAGCATTGCTAGGAGTAATTCCTGAGTGCAGAGCCAGGAGTAAGCCCTGAGCATCGAATCGCTGGGTGTGACCCAAAAAGAAAAAAAAAGTAAGTTAACTGTAGAATGTAAGTGCTGGGATGTTCACTCTACAATTGTCTCAGCTTTCCTGTATGCTTACAATTTTTCATAATACATTATTAGATGGGCTGGAGCGATAGCACAGCGGTAGGGCGTTTGCCTTGCATGCAGCCAACATGGGCGAACTGAGTTTGATTCCTCCGCCCCTCTCAGAGAGCCAGGCAAGCTACCGAGAGTATCTTGCCCGCATGACTGAGCCTGGCAAGCTACCCGTGATGTATTGGATATGCCAAACACAGTAACAACAAAGTCTCCAATGGAGATGTTACTGGGCCCGCTCAAGCAAATCGATAAACAACGGGAGGATAATGACAGTGACATTATTAGATGGAGAAACTTGGTGGGCAAAATGAACAGTCAAATATGTGCCCAGTCAACCACAGCACACATAAGGGCTCATTTTATAAGAATCTATTCTGGTGGTAAATGCTGACAAAATGGTAATAGGGTTAGAAGTTAGAAACCTAGGTTCAAACACCTGTACATAGTCTTGATCAAGGAAATTCACATCTCTACATCACCATTTCTCCATCTGTTAAAAGAGGGGCTATATCTCTTCTGCCTCCCTCATAGGATGCTGTGAGGATAAGAAAAACTGAAAGGGCAAAGAACACACACACACAAATCAAGAGATAAATTTGTTGTTCTCAGACAATATATAACTGAATGAATATAAAGAACAAGAAATCAAAGAAAAGATCTAGAAAAGATAACAGAGAGGGCCAGGGATAAAGCTTAGCAACACAGCACTGGTTCTACATGTAAAAGTCTTGGGATTAATCCCCAGCACAGGAGGAGGAGGAAAGAAGGAAGAAGGACAGAAGCTATCTAGTTTGAATTCCTATACAATACTAAAAATTTGCACGCGTTTGGGTATTTTCACTGGCTGAGAATATGCGCTTCTTTGTTGTTACTATTGGCTTTGGGGCCACATCCAGCAGTGCTTGGGAAATACTCCCAACACAGCTGGGATTTTGTTCCAGTGGTATTCTAGCAATAATGCAGTATTGAGGATCAAACCCAGGCCTCATGAATGCAAAAACCTTTACAAAGTATCTGGTCCTCTGAGTCATCTCTCGAGTCCCAAGAATATATGCCTCTTTATCATCAGGAGCAATTTCTGACTGCAGAAATAGGTGTAACCCTTGAGCATTGCCAGGTGTGGTCCAACAAAAACAAACAAAAAGAATTTATGCCTCTTAAGATAATATAATCTAGATAGCTGTATCTAGAACATGTTTGTGAAGGCATAAATTTCTAGTGCCTTAAGAGAGAAGAAGCTTATTATCTCTCAATATAACAATTTTTTCTTTTTTTTCTTTTTTGGGTCACAGCTGGCGATACACAAGAGTCACTCCTTGCTCTGCACTCAGGAATTACTCCTGGCGGTGCTCAGGGGACCATATGGGTTGCTGGGAATCGAACCCGGGTCGGCCGTGTGCAAGGCAAACCCCCTAGCCACTGTGCTATCTCCAGCTCCATAACAATTTTTTTTTTAAAAAAAAAGATGTCTCTGCCTGCCCGGAGGGGAAAGGGTGTTGTCCCGCTCGCCCACTCCTCTCTGGAAAGAAAGATGGCGGCCGCCGGGAGCCTTGTGGACAGCAGGTTTGAGCCGGGGGTGGGGGGCAGCAGGGGCCTCATGGGAAGGGGGGCGTTCTGGGCCGTCCTTCACGCCCGAAAGAGGTCACCAGCTGTCCCCAAGGAGCGGCTCTCCGGCACGGCCACGACTCCAGAGCACAGAAACCAATCTCTTAACTATCTAACTTTTAATAGAAATACTTCCAGGGTTAATAAGTAAAACATCAGAAATCCAAAACCGCGCGGCCGCGATAGCATTTTATTCTTAAACCAAGAAAGCAAATCATTTCACAACGCTGTTTCAGCATATCTGATTGGGGGGGGGGGGGGGCGTCGTAAACTCTAAACAATAATTGTGCATCTTCTATCGAAACAATGTATCTAGTCAAAGTAGATAGAGTATTAACTAGAACTCATCTGCCTCACAGGAATTGGGAGGGGTGGGAGGTGGGGTTCTATTGGGGTTCACGGTTAAAAATAAGTATTGGTAAAGGGAAATGTGTTTGATACTTACATGACTGAGACCTAAACCCGAAAGCTCTGTAACTTTTCCCACAGTGATTCAATAAATAAATAATTAAAAAAAAAAAAGATGTCTCTGATGAGACAAAATCTGTCTTCCTAAAGTTTCAATCTCTGACCTAATTCTATACTCTTGAAAAACAAAAGATATACCAACTCCTCTTTCCCAATGCTTTCGTTTCAAAGATTCATCATAAAACAAAAAAAATCTATCTTTCTCCTCCCACCATTTTTCTATCTATCCCCTTTTAGGCTAAAACTTCTAGATCTTTTAAGTTCTATTTATGTAACAAATATGAAGCCAGTAATTCTGGCTGCCTTCTTCTAGACATTATCTATGTATCTTTTCAGTATGCAGTGCTTAAAACAAAATCAGTATGGCCTCAGTGAAGCAAAAACCAATGGTGCTGTCAGCTCCAGAGTAGATTGTACATTTCCAGGGACATCTTCCAAATTGTAATATTTTATAGTTGAGGAACACAAATGGTACATATTAAACTTAAAGTCCAAAATCTTGCTGGGATTGTTATAAGAATAATTATCTTTGTTAGTCTGTATTTTATAGACAATAGCTTTAATCTAAAAGAAGGCTGTTCCCTCCCCCCCACCTTCCATTTATAATTTTACTTGATTTTAGCTCATTGTGAAAGCTGTGGGGAAAACACTTTAAATTCCTTCAATGATGAGAAAACATCTGTTAACTCACTCTGGTTACAAAGCAAGTTCGCAGCAGAACTGAGATGCTAAGACATACCTTCCCATTTTTCCACCCAGTGCTCTCTTTGATGTTTCAAGGATTAAAAATGATGTCGATGATAATCACCTTCAAAGCAGGGAACACTTACTGAAAGCTTATCATGGACTAGGCACAGTTTGAAGAATTTCACATATATTAATGTCCACACAACTATATGATCCTGTAATAATCTTCATTTTACAAAAAGAGAAAACTACAGCAGTGATATGTTAAGTTGCCCAGGATCACATAGCTAGGAAATGCAGAACTAGATTCAATCTTAGTGAATGGCTTGGTGCAATTTCCTATTGACTCTCAGTACTAAAGGAAGTACCCAGGTACTAGAGAAGATCCCAAGCATTAGTCACTGTCTCCCAAAAACAAGGAAGTAGAAACAGTAATACACACATAACTCTATTAGCTAAATTAACTTACAGTAGCTTCCCACCTGATGAGCGCACACTGTCACTTACCTCCACTGCTCCTCTGGGGAAAGGTCTGACATATCAACCTGTAGAAAGATACCATCAGAAAAATCCATTACTGTCTTAGAATGGTCCCTGCCCCATACACAGTACTCATACATTCACCACTTTTTCCAAAGAATTACAGGAAGATTCAGGGGCCAATCTCCGGGAAGCTTCACACAGAGCTCTATTTCCACTGATTTCTCCTTTGTCTAGCCACTTACTTTGATACAGCCAAAATGTCTATGTATGTTCCAAGCTACATAATGGTACCGGGAGAGTAAATCTAACACCCAAGGTCTTCACAACCCTTGTGAGGAAGTCAGACATACAGAAATTTTTCTCGTATGCTGAAGACTACCTACAGAAAAATATAGAAGTGGATTCTAATACATTCTGGAGTATAGTGTAGTACACTGCAAAGACTTGCTGAAAGATGTAGAATATTATCTAGAAATTAAACATGAGATTAGCATGTAGCAGGCAAAGGGACTAATATAAACACAAAGGACTAAAGTCACACAGCGACTGACTAGAAGTATAAGCAGAATTAGTGAGAAAGCTAGAGACACTATTCAAATAATGCCATTTGATCCTCCACAATCCCACTGAGAGCAAGTAGGTGACATTTGACTTTAGAGTGAACTAAATTACCAGACTCAAAGTTCTTATTCTATTGCCAATCATGCCCCTTTAGAGCAGAATTTCTCAACCTTGGAACTACTTGGGGTTGCTTGGTTCTGTTGGGTGGGAAATGTACTGCATTGACATTTTAGGGTGTTCTGCAGCATCTCTGGCTTGGTTACCAGCAAGTCTAGCAGACTCCCAGATGTAACTAAAAATGCTTACAAACACTGTCAAATATCTTCTTTGGAACAAGAAACCCACCCCCAATTCCACATTAAGAACCACTGCTCTAGAATAATATTAACAAAATTCTGATCTACACTTGAGACACACACAAATATACCCAAGCTAATACATGTCACTGAATTGATCTCAACTGAAAACTGTTGTGTGACAGAGAAGACAAAATCACTCAAAAGAATCAATTTTAAATATATGTCCTGGACAAAATGAACAGAAACTTTCTCAAAGAAGAAATCCGAATGGCTAAAAGGCACATGAGAAAATGCTCTACATCATTAATCATCAGGGAGATGCAGATCAAAACAACAATGAGATATCATTTCACACCACAGAGACTGGCCCAAATCCAAAAGAACAAAAGCAATCGGTGCTGGAGCGGATGTGGCGAGAAAGGGACCCTCCTTCACTGCTGGTGGGAATGCCGACTGGTTCAGCCCTTCTGGAAAACAGTATGGACAATTCTCAAAAAATTAGAAATTGAGCTCCCATTTGACCCAGCACTACCACTCCTGGGAATATATCCCAGAGAGGCAAAAAAGTATAGTTGAAGTGACATCTGCACTTGTTTGTTCACTGCAGCACTCTTTACAATAGCCAGAATCTGGAAAAAACCTGAGTGCCGGAGAACAGATGACTGGTTAAAGAAACTTTCTACACAATGAAGTACTATGTAGCAGTTAGAAAAGATGAAGTCATGAAATTTACATACAAGTGGTACTACATGGAAAGTATCATGTTAAGCGAAAGGAGTCAGAAAGAGAGGGACAGATATAGAAAGATTGCATTCACCTGGGGAACATAAAGTAACAAAATAGGAGACTAACACACAAGAGTGGACGAGATTAGTACCAGGAGTTTTGCTCCATGGCTTGGAGGCCAGCCACACACTCTAGGGGAAAAGGGAGCTCAGATAGAGAAAGGAGTACCAAATAAAGGGTGTTGGGAGGATCCTCCCAGGATGGGAGAAGCATGCTGAAAGTAAACTATAGATCAAACATGATTGCCACTCAATGCCTCTTTTCCAAACCACAACACCCAAAAGGAGAGAGAGAACAAAAGGGAATACCTTGCCACAAAGGCAGGGTGGGATGGGGGTATGGGGGGGTGGGAGGGATACTGGGATCCGTGGAGGTGGAAAATGGGCACTGGAGGAGGGATGGGAGTTTGATCATTGTATAACTGAAACCCAAGCACAAAAATCTGTAAGTATACAACTGTACCTCATGGTGTTTCACTAATAAAAATTAAAAATAAATATCCTGGGGTCTGCACAATAGTACAGCAATATTTGCCTCGATGCGGCTGACCCAGGTTCAATCCTTGGCATCCCATATGGTCCTCCAAGAACTGCCAGGAGTAATTCCTGAGTGCAGAACCAGGGATAACCCCTGAACATTGCTGGGTGTGACCCAAAAAGTCAAAAATAAAAATATGTTCTGTGAGGTCAGGGAAGTGGAGCTGGAGTGCATACTGAGCACCGCTGGGCGTGGTCCAACCAACCAAATGGACATACTAGCAGGAGCTCCACCACTATAATTCTCTGGGCACTGCCAGGTGTGACCCAAAAGATATATATATAAACTATATAAATTAATAATAATATGTAACAAAATAATATATAATAATATATACTAATACTTACATTCTCTTAAGAACCAGTTTCAAAAAGAAACCCTAACAGGAATGTTTAAAGTAAAACAGTACAGCAGGTAGGCCACTTGCATTTCAGGTAATGACCCAGGATCAATCCCTGGCAGCCCTTCTGGTCCCCTGAGCCCATCAGGAGTGATTTCCTGAGTGCAGAGCTAGGAGAAGCCCTGACCACTGCTGGGTGTGGCCCAATCCCCCAAATGGACATACTAGCAAGTCAAAGTCATTTAACCTGTATCCATTATTATTCCCCACTTCCCCGTGTGTGAGGGGGAGTGCTTGGGGTCACAATCAACCATTCATATGTGTGTGCATATATATGGATGTCTATGATGACTATTTAAGAACATTTTCTGGGGTCTGGAGTGAGAGTACAACAGGTAGGGCATTTGCCTTGCAAACGGACAACCCTGGTTAGATGTCCGGCATCCCAAATGGTCCCCCAAACAATGCCAGTAATAATTCCTGAGTGCAGAGCCAGGAGTAATCCCTCAGCACTGCTGGCTGTGACACAAAAAGTCAAAAAAAAAAAAAAAAGCTTTCGGATTTCTACATGTCCTAGTTAAGTTAAAAAAAATTACCCATGAGCCTTTGTGGCTCAGTGAGTGACTAAAAAGTACTTGCTCTTCAAGTGTGAGGTTGTGAGTTCAATCCCTGGTACCACCCAATTGTGCCATGATGGTCCATATGGAACCTCTGGAGCCACAACTATACAACTATATTGGTGTTCAGCATGGTGTGTGAGTTCTGCAACTAAAAGTGCAGAAAAATCCCTGGCCAAGCACATGTCTGAAAAAAAATGCAATCCACAGTCAGGAGAGTGATGCCAAGTGAGCCACATAGAAGCACCGCAACTGACTGTGCAACCCCTAGTTTGGCAAACAACTAAGTATGGCTAGATGTATGAGCAGAATTAGTGAGCGCGAAAGTTAGAGACAGTATTCAAATAATGCCATTTCACCCTAAATGATCCCACTGACAGCAGGTAGGTAGGTGGCAAGCACAGCAGCAAGCACCACAACCAAGCCAGTGCAACCTCAGTTAGGGCAACTCCGGCAACAAGAGGAAGGAAGCAGGGAATAATAAACCCAAGGACTCATCTACCCTCAATGAGGTCATGAAGTCAACTACCTTCCTCCCTTTCCTTAATTCCAGGACTTTCTCAGAGAGCCAGAAAGAGTTCAGGAGTTAAGACCTTGTACATGCTGACCCGGGTCTGCTCCTTGCCATCATATATGGAATATGGATGGTTGGTTGTGACCCCAAGCATCCCCCCCTCACACACACTCACACACACACACACAACCAGAAAGAAAAAATACCTCACCAAAAAATAAAAAACAATGCCTCAGATCATTTATCTGGGCACCCTGACTCAGGCATCTTCCCAAAGGACAGATACCCCATGGGACTATGGATGCAAGAAGCAAACTGGCAATGACTGAACAGAAAAGAATCACATTTCTGGGCCAGAGCAATAGTACAGCAGATAGGGTATTGCCTTGCACACAGCAGCCAACCCGGGGTTCTATCTCCAACATCCCATATGTGGATGCCACCCCATATTCCCAAGCACCACCAGGAGTAACCCCTGAGAACAGCCAAGTGTGCCCCCACACCTCCAAAAAAGAATCACATTTCTAAATGAACAATCAACACATGGGCTTCATACTACTCATTAGAACTTTTTTTTGTCTAGAGAAATAGTTCAATGGGCTGAGGGTATGCTCTTCATGCAGGAGGCCCAGATTTGGTCCTAGCACTGGGAGTAAGCCACAAGCATTGCTGGGTGTTATCTCCGCCCCCCACACCCCCCAAGATGCGTACACAAAACCTTTTTTCTTCCATTCTAAATAAGACCAGAATCTTGCCAAACTAAGTTGTTCATTGTCCTGAAATACATGGGACTCATTCCTCATTCTTGCCTCTGGTCTTTGCACATACCTCCTGTTTAAAATGTCCTTCCTGGGCAATAGTACAGCAGGCAGGGCATTTGCCTCACACGCAGGCAACCCAGATTCAATCATCAGCAGCCCATATGGCTCCCTGAACTCTGTCGGTGTACAGAGCCAGGAGTAACCCCTGAGCACTGCTGGGAGTGGCCCCCAAACAAAAACAAAACCCTTCCCTCTCTTACTCCTGTCCATATCTGCTGCAATTTCACTTCCCTTCACTGATACCCAGGATAGGAAGTTTGGAGCTCTACTTTCTCCAAGTGGAGTTTTCTCCTGCTGCTCAAAATGCAGATCAAAGACTAGTAACAACATTACCTCAGCATTTATTTAGAAATGCAGAATCTCCGGCACCACTCCAGACCTCCTAAATAAAAACTTTTATTAACACTGCTGAATGATTTTAATGCACATTAAATTTAGGAAGCATTGTTCTAAGCCACTCAACCATGGTAGCACCTCATGATAGGTAAGTTTTCCAAGAGATCTGTTTCCTCCAGGGTCAAACCCGCAGTGGGATAAGCAAAGGACCTATTGCTCAAGATGTAAGGAGGAAGGCTGGAGAGATAATA